ACCCCCACCCCCGTCCTCTCTCCCCCGGGTGGGTACCGGGTGGAGAATCCGGTCAAACTGGAGAGGCCGGGCCCGAGCCCGGGGAGCTGGGGCCGCACCGTCATGATGAAGACTCAGTGTCTGCTCGGCCTCAAGACCTTCGTGGCGTTCGCGGCCAAAATCTGGAGCTTCATCCTCTACATCCTCCGGCGGCAGATCCGCACCGTGAGTCCCTTTTACCAGCTTAACCAGGTCGCCTCGATTAGCTTAACCAGGGCACTTCGACTAGAGTAACCAGCTTAACCAGGGCTTCTCGACTGGCATAACCAGCTTAACCAGGGCTTCTCGACTGGCATAACCAGGGCTTCTCGACTGGCATAACCAGCTTAACCAGGGCTTCTCGACTCGCATAACCAGGGCACTTTGAATAGTGTCACCAGCTTAACCAGGGTGCTTGGTTTAATATAACCAGCTGAATCAGAAATCCACAACTAGCTTAACTAGGGCAATTTGATTAGTGTAACCAGGATGCTTCTGCAAACTTAACCCGGGCACTTCTACTAGTGTGGCCTGCTTAACTAGGACACTTCAATCAGCTTCGCCAGGGCACCATGACTAGTATAACCAGCTTTACCTGTGCTTTGGTAACCATGGTACCTGATCTGTCCTTATACTCGCCATCTCCCACATACATACAGATGTTCACCACTGCGGTAATTACTGTAGTTAACTTTACCATCTTCAGTGACCCTGATGCCTGCAGATCAGGACTTTGTCCACTCAGTTTAGCCAGCTGAACTACTTTAACTGATGCCACTGACCCTGATGCCAGTTAGACCAGGATTGTGACCATGGATTTTAATCTGCTTAACCAGTGTCACTGACTCTAGATCCACCTGGGCTGGGAGTTTCGTTACGTCATGACCTGCTCCCATCCCTCACTGTGAGTGAGTAGGGACCCTTAGAAATAGGAGCGACGGATTTGTGTGAAGCTCCAACAGAGTAGGTCAGGGCAGCTGTCTGCTCCCACTGTGGATCCTAGTTGGCATTTCCCAAAGGATAGATATGCTCTGGCTGCAACATTTGCCTCAAGCACTTCTATTCAATGTCATGTATTCCAGGAGGAGAATGGTGCTGGAGCAGGTATACCCTGATTTGGGAACTTGCGCTACACATGGACTCCTGCTGAGTTTGATCATTGGGAGAGAGTGAGGATGCCGGCACGTTAAGTCCACTGAGCAAACTAAATCTGTGCACTGAGTGTGGAGAGACATGGCTTGATGTTCACGTAAATAGAAGACTGCACTATGCAGAGTTGTTTTGGAAGTCAGTGATTGGGTATAATGTGGAAGCAGGCAGACCCATTGTCGACAGCCTGTGCTTGTTAGATTGCAGCTACGTATATTGTTTATTCAGGGGCTCAGATTGTTTAATTATTTTGATGCAACTTTGAAAACCTGAATAAGATGTGGTAGCAATGCATTGTGACGCACACTGTCCTTTACATTGCTAATCCTGTGGAGATGTGGATAATGTATAGAAATCCTAAATTGAAATTACCACAGTTGCTCGGCTTGATCTGTGAAAATTGACCCATGGGCAAGTTTTTGTTAATTTTGAGGTTGCACTGAGATTGAGACCTCAATGTCCAGTGTTGTGGTCAGCTTCTCAGGTGTGAGCTATTCACTGCATCGCGATGTGAAAATTCGTTGTGTAACACTGGAGTGCAGTCTGGTTGGGGACAGTTCTGTTACTGTGTAACACTGGGGTACAGTACTGGTGGGGACAGGTCTGTCACTGTGTAACACTAAGGTACAGTACCGGTGGGGACGGGTCTGTCACTGTGTAACACTGGGGTACAGTACTGATGGGGACAGGTCTGTCACTGTGTAACACTAAGGTACAGTACCGGTGGGGACGGGTCTGTCACTGTGTAACACTGGGGTACAGTATCAGTGGGGACAGGTCTGTCGCTGGGGTACAGTACCAGTGGGGACAGGTCTGTCACTGTATAACGCTGGGATACAGTACCGGTGGGGACAGGTCTGTCGCTGTATAACACTGGGGTATAGTACTAATGGGGACAGGTCTGTTGCTCTATAGCACTGGGGTACAGTACCAGTGGGGGCAGGTCTGTCACCGTATAAGACGGGTACAGTACTAGTGGGGGCAGGTCTGTCAGTATCACACTGGGGAGTAGTGACAGAGATAGGTCTATCACAGTATAACATTGGGGGTACAAGACCGATGGGGACAGGTCTGTACTGTATAACTCTGGGGTACAGTAATGGTGGGGACAGGTCTGGCACTGTATAATACTGGGCTACGTTAGTGGTGGGGACAAGTCTGTTGCTGTATAGCACTGGGGTACAGTACCGGTGGGGACAGGTCTGTCAGTGTGTAACGCTGGGATACAGTACCTGTGGGGACAGGTCTGTCACTGTTTATCATTGGTGTACAGTACAAGTGGGGACAGGTCTGTCACTGTATACCACTGGGGTACAGTACTGGTGGGGACGGGTCTGTCACTATATAACACTGGGGTACAGTACCGGTGGGGACGGGTCTGTCACTGTGTAACACTGGGGTACAGTACCGGTGGGGACGGGTCTGTCACTGTGTAACACTGGGGTACAGTACCGGTGGGGACAGGTCTGTCACTGTGTAACACTGGGGTTCAGGACTGGTTCGGGCAGGTCTGTCACTGTATAACACTGGGGTACAGTACCGGCGGGGACTGGCCTGTCAATGTTAAACACTGGGGGTAGAGTAATGGTGGGGACAGGTCTGTCACTCTATAACTGGGGAACAGTCCTGGTGGTGGCAGGTCTGTCACTGTATAACATGGGGTACAGTACCGGTTGGGACAGGTCTGTCACTGTATAACATGGGGTACAGTACCGGTTGGGACAGGTCTGTTGCTGTATAACACTGGAGTACAGTACCACTGGGGACAGGTCTGTCGCTGTATAACAATGTGGTACAGTACTGGCAGGGACAGGTCTGTTGCTGTGTAACGCTGGGGTACAGTACTGTTGGGGACAGGCATGTTGCTGTTTCGCACTGGGGTACAGTACTGGTGGGGCAGGTCTGTCACTGTATAACACTGGGGCACAGTACCGGTGAGGGCAGGTCTGTCACTGTATAACACTGGGGTACAATAATGGCGGGGACTGGTCTGTTGCTGTATAACGCTGGGGTGCAGTAATGGCGGGGACAGGTTGACACTGTATAACACTGAGGTACAGTACTGTTGGGGACAGGCATGTCAGTGTATAACATGGGGATACAGGACCGGTGGGGACAGGTCTGTCGCTGTATAACACTGGGGTGCAGTAATGGCAGGGACAGGTTGACACTGTATAACACTGGGGGTACAATACTGTTGGGGATAGGCCTGTCACTGTATAATACTGGGCTATGTTAGTGGCGGGGACAGATCTGTCACTGTATAACACTGGGGTACAGTACTGGCGGGGACTGGTCTGTCAATGTTAAACGCTGGGGGTAGAGTAACGGTGGGGTCAGGCCTGTCACTGTATAATACTGGGCTACGTTAGTGGTGGGGACAGGTCTGTCACTGTATAACACTGAGGTACAGTACCGGTGGGGACAGGTCTGTCGCTGTATAACACTGGGGTGCAGTAATGGCGGGGACAGGTTTACACTGCATAACACTGGGGTTACAGTACTGCTGGGGATAGGCATGTCACTGTATAATACTGGACTATGTTAGTGGCGGGGACAGGTCTGTCACTGTATTATACTGAGGTACAGTACTGTTGGGGACAGGCATGTCAGTGTATAACATGGGGATACAGTATCGGAGGGGACAGGTCTGTCGCTGTATAACACTGGGGCACAGTACCACTGGGGACAGGTCTGTCGCTGTATTACACTGGGGTACAGTACCAATGGGGACAGGTCTGTTGCTGTATAACTCTGGGGTGCAGTACCAGTGTGGACAGGTCTGTCTCTAAATAACAATGGGGTACAGTACTGGCAGGGACAGGTCTGTCACTCTATAACACTGG